GTACAATACAGAGCTTCAAGCTGAGCAAAAACTCTGTACATTACCAATACAATATTTGCTATGGTATCTATGCTTGATGCTCACAGACTAGTAAACCGCAAGACTGAAATGGAAATGCAATGCGACTCACCACGTTGCAGTTTACTGGCCTGCCCTGGTGATCCACACTCGGAGGTTGTACTGGACCCCATTCTGCTCCATGGTCAAAAGAGATTAGAGTGGTCAAATGTTCAGGGCCCAAGGATGATGCAGAAGGCAAAGCAGGCACTACCTGCGACGCAATGTAGATGCCACGAAGACCTTCTACACGGTGCAAGTCAGCAAATGACTCGTCGGCCACATCACTGCAAACAAAACACAGCATTTAACTGCGGTGAAAATTTACTTTAATACATTGGCCCTTGTAGAATAATTGGTGAAAGCATTGATATATGCAGTGTGGTAAAAGCATTGACATATGGATGGGCATTTTTATCACTCTAGTCCGGATTTAAATGTAATTACATAACTTGTCTTTCTACATTCAATCCTCAAAATTGTGATCTTGGGGAATCAATACAATCCTAACCCAATATTGAAATTTCTCATTACATATTTTTACTTATTTTATTCTATATTACATATTTTGCTAAACTTTTTATTATTCTACAAATTTTATTGAAATTTATTTTGCAAAAAGACATTAATAAATTTTCAAAAATACTTTTTATTTAAAAAATGTGCTTTTTTTCTTCTTTTCTTTCTCTCTCCCCCCAGGGGGGGGGGGTGAGTTTGACAATACATGTCAAAGGTTATATAAGGTTAATTTATTTATTTTGTAATGGCAGCAGCAATTTTGCTGTTTCACTCACATCATACAAAAACTGTAAATGTTTAATATTAATCAACAAATTTATCACATTCATCATTAATTTATCTACTTCATAGCATTCTTCTTAAAAGTTTAGCAGTGTAACAAAAACAGTCACTATCGTACCAAAAGTCAATAGACGTCATGTATCCTACATATCTTATAAGGCTGACAGAAAAGAACCCACTGTAGCTCTGTTGACACTGGCAATCTATTCCACGAGTTCGCCAC